TGGGTTTCATTGTGGCCACGTGAACAGTCAGGCACTCCCCAACCCACAGTCACCTGTGCTCTGTCAAAGTATTCGCAATTGCATGGCACAGATGAAAGGGATAGGGTTGCGCTCTGCGTGTCAACCACTGTCCTGCACTGTCCTTGCCTACCAAAACAATGTGTTTGCGATTTGAAAATGAACAACGCCCATGCTGTGGCACACACTCGCGCGCTAAGTGAAGGAGAGAGAAGGGTCCCCCAAAGAGGATTCCAGTTGCTTTGCGCCAGGGCATGTGATAAGCACAAAAGTCAATTCGCATGAGAGTGAATCGATCGGCAAGTTGTTTCAGGTATGGTGTTAGCCAGATTCGGCTAGACCAGGGGTTCTCAATCGCACAACACAAGTTCAAAGCAATGCATGTGGAGATGATTTGTTCAGACACACTGAGAAGGCTGTTGCCATCTTGTATTTTGCGTTTGTCTGAAAAACTCAAGTCATCAAAGCCAAATAAATTCTGCTCATCATCTCTCAGAGGGGGGGGACCCCCATCATGCTTTCTAGCTCTGCTCCAGGTTGTGCAAGGGGTTCCCAACCATACCATAGCTATAGAGCCCTGATGTTTGTGCAAGAAACGAAGGATTCGGTGTAAAACAGCTGGTTGTAAAATGTCGCAAGCTGTGCCGTAGGCAATATCATAGGCTATGGAGATGAAACCCACGGCTGAACAAGCTTGTGACAAACGCGCGCAACCACTGAAAATTTCTAGCACAAATTTCTGAACCCCAAGCTGTTGTGAAGGCCGAAAAATCTTGGGGCCTCCTTTGGAAGCATCTGCTCTGCCAGCTGCGACTTTCTCTGCACGGCTGCCGGGAGGTCGTTGAACTCCTGGTTCAGGCGCGCATGCGCCTCGTATCTCCGCACTGAGCTGTCTGCTTGCCAACGCCCTCTCTGCTTCACCTCGCTTAGCGGGCGTAGCTTGTAGAACCTGTCGTGCGAAGGTCCTGAGTGACGGAGTTGGTAGAGCACTGCGTGACTCTTCGGAAGTCCTATCGCCTTGAGTGCTGCCTGCCAGGACTGAACCAAATCGTAGTAGGTGATGTCGAGGAGGAAGGCTCCCGGAGAATTGAGACTTCTGAGGGCTGGACCGATCCATGGCAGGAGAGGAGAGTCCAGCAGGATGCTTTCGTCCGCTAGGCCCACCTTGGACCGTTCTTGCCGCTCTGCTGGGTGCAACAAAAGGGACCAATGCTTCTGTCGAGGCATGGGGTTGACCAAGTCTGCTTTTCTCAGGTGCAGAACCTCGCCCGGGCGAAGGTAGGCGGTGAAGCTGAGGAGAACTGCTGCTGCTGAGTGTGTTCTGTGTTGCTTCAACATCTGCATGACCAGAGCCGCCAACAACGGCCACGGCAGAGGTGGTCGAGTCCTCTGGGGTTCCAGCTTCAGCCATCCCTGCAGTGATCGCCGGGTGCGCGCAAGAGTGTGCTTCTGGCCACAACCTGGGAACATGTCGCATGTTGCGGCGAGGAACTTTGTGCCCTCGGCGAGCTCTAATCCTTGATCGAACATGTGATTCACGTAAGAGTTGCAAACCTCGTCCAATCTCTTGTAATCCCTCGCCAGGGTCTTCTGTGAGACTTTTTGGGCTCGGGCAAATTGGAGAAAGCCCTGCATTCGTCGCCGATAGTCTTCGGCCACCAGTCTTGACACTGCCATCTGCTCCAAAAATGTCTGTCCTTGAAACCTCTGCGGGGTCTGATTCTCTTGTTTCGCCTGCGAGCGGTTCTGCTTCCGATCGTCCCGGGTCTTGATCAGCCGTCTTTGAGGTGACTGCCTTTGGCTTTTCTGTGTCTGGTTGGACTTTGTCTCGGGAAGGAGGATTCCAGGTTGAGGTGTAGGGGGCGTCTTCCTTTTCTGTCCCCGCGCCTCCTGGGCTAAAAGCATGCTTTCTCAAATGCTCCCACTGTCGGGAAGCCTGATCAGCCACATTCCTTTCACTCGGCACCCATCGCACTTGAAGGAAAGTGTCAGTGGCCAAGAGCAAACACGTTAGCCGCCGACACACCCGAAGCATGCCAAAAGTATTCGACCTACCCTTAGAGCAAAGAAGCACCACACCCATGTTATCCGTGAAGTGAAGATGCTTCCGTCCAAACTGTTGCGACGAGCGAAATTTGTGTCTCATGGCAGCAATAACTCCTCTACCTTCCAAAAGTGTGATATGTTCGGGATACTGCATGTGAATAGCAAAACATTGTGTCCAGCAATCCTTTTGCATGACCTCGGCCTCTATGTCAGGAAAATCAAAGTTCAGCTCATATGGGTCACTTCGCTCCGCTTGCACTGGCTTGACCGTGCCTGGATCTTCAAAGGGGTCACCCAAATCAACAACCACTTCACGGGGCTTGACAGGTCTTCCACTAACGTATCTCCAGGTCTCTCGAATGCGGCCATGCCGGACCACGTCTCTCAGGGGAAGC